CCATGCAAAATGGTGTATTATTCTCCTACCACCAGAAAAACTTTTTCGGCGCGGTGTCATATGTCGCGCGTTCGCTCGCTGCGCGCCGTTTGCCCGCTCACCGCTCCCCGCTCGCCGTCGTCTCTCATCGATCGATGCGTGACTCCACCTCTTGCTATCGGATCTTGAGAGATGTCAACAGATACACCATTTTGCATGTTGCCGAGTCCGGCCTTCCGCTCCTTCGTGCACTTATTGGCTCAGACGTTTTTCTTAATTACGCAATAATAATTACGGATTTTGTAAAATGGTATATAACTTTTCTTCTCAGATTGATCCAATGTACTATAATCTTTGGAGTGGTCCGAATCGAATCCGACACCCTGTATAACTGTTACTTTGTGTTTGCTGGACTCTCTGCCGGCCCCTTTGATCCTTGCGGTCCCGATCACGTGGTATTCCGCCATTTCTTTGGTCAGCAATCCAGCGATGTGTGTGTATACGTAGGGCCAGTTTCACAAACACCGGTTAACTGTTAACTAGAGTTCAGTCGACTTGTTTAATATATCTTTGTCCGTCTTATTATTTAAGAAGACACAGAGATAATCAATTAACCGTCGGTTAGCAGTTAACTGATGTTTGTGAAACGGGCCCGTGCTCGTCAAAGCAACACTACCGCACGTATTTACAACTTTTCTCTCATTGCTCTGCCCAGAAGGGAGCGACGCAAAATGAAACGAATGACGGAGTAGACCTACCAGTTATACTATGGTTACACTATGGCCAGGGTTGGAAAGTAATTAGTTACTTGTAACGAAGTTACAGTTACAGTTGCTTTTTTTGGGTAACTCTAACTTAACTTTCTCCCCATCTGTAACTGTAACTCAGTTACATTTTTTCGATAACTGGTAACTAATTTAATTAGTTACATTAATAGCTACTTTATATTTTTTTAAACCACCACAGATCGCATTAGGCCTTGCATTTGCGCATAAACGCCTTTATCGACACTGCAATTCAACTGCAGATTTGATATTTTTATTTTTATTGCACGAAAGTAACTGCAAAGTAACGATTCGTTACTTTTTTAGTAACTGTAACTGTAACGCGTTTGATACGCATATCAAATAGTGTATTTCAACCCATCAGCCAATGACTAAACCCATTTACCATGTTATTTACTATTTGAAACGCGTATCAAACAATCGGTGTAAACTAGACCTATGACTTCGATTTTAATGTAACTCCAGATAAAATAAGGAACAAGAAGAACTCGGAGATATCGCAGACGTTCGGTATCGTTAAACGATCAGTCATTCCGAAGGTACGCGAGTTGTAAACCGCGAAATGACGCAGGAATGACACAATGCTGTCGTGTTGCACAAGCGTGTTCCAAGCAGGAGGTCAATTCTATATCTCTTACACTACACGGAGAGAATTTTCTCTTAAATTTTAACCCGAACAGCATGGCATTCTGAAGAACTTCATAGGAGTTTTCTTAAATTTTACCATACATTTTATTAGTAAAATGTATAATAAACTTTCCAAAGCTCTCATAAAGTTCATCAAAATGCCGTGTTGTCCTACGATATCACAGTAATTCTTTTGAAACACTCTCTTATTGAATCTCTTATAAATCGGTTCGCCAATCGCGAGAAGGCAAGGAGAAAATACTTTTAAGTTATCCGGAATTGTCCCTCGTTTGTACCAATAAGAGTCGCGTAAGACGAGGAGCGCGGAAAAATTATTTTACATCTATATACTTTCACGTAGCGACTCGCGGTGCCCTGCAGTTAATCTCACGCTTTTCAGCAACGCATTTATATGAGAAATTTTAGTGATTATTATGCCCGACCAGACACTCTTGCTGCCATTCACTCGAATGCGCGAAGGCATTCGCGCGACCCCGAGGAACAGGCTTTAAATGAAAATTTTCCGTCCCACTCTGCACCCGCTCCCAGCGTTTTTACTTAACATTAATGGCAATGCCTTGCGGTACAAGATTGCGTTCGCCGCTATATCCGCCCGCTCGCTCCGCCTCCCCCGTTTCATCCCCTTTACCGATGTCCGCTTGTAGATGGGACAGACGAAAATGGCAGTGAGGGTAAACTGGCTGTGAAAACGTCACCGTGTTAATGGCAGTACACCACGCTGAGTCCAGGGACACGGGGGTGGCTGAGGGGAGGAAGGTTGGAGAAGAGCGAACGGGGGAAAAAGAGGAAAATTTTGTTACGTGTTCGCGTAGCCGTGCCGGGCCGAGCCGAACCCGGTAGTCGGTAAGTAAATCGAGTAACGTCGTTAAGTGCCGGCACGATTCCGCTCGGCATCCTCCGAAGAAATTTATATCGCTTCGGGAGAGGGAGGCGGAACGGAGAAAACGACGACGTCGTGAGATATATCGCACCTAAAGATCTCTCATCCTGAGATCTTAATTCCCGCCATCGGGCGCTACCGATTAATCCTCGAGATCTAATATGACTTTTCCGATTGGTAATGTCGGCCCGATGCGAACTGCGCCGCCCTGATTCTTCCCTTTCCGCGGCCATTACTCGCTTAAAAGCGCCGTCGGATTTTTATATTACTTTCCAACTCTCCGAAGGCGGAGAGTGAAAATGAGGTGACGTCCAAAGGCAAGAACTATTTTCCAAATAAGGAAATTACTTGTTAAGATATAAGTGCAAGAGACGTGTTTTTATTCTTAGACATTCTTTGTGGCAGGCCGACATTATGTTTCGAGGGGCAAAACTGGAGCTAAAAGTAACGAGGTCCACGTTGCGCGAGGGGAAAATCGCGATATACGCGACAGCCGCAGCTGATGACGTGAGAGCATCCCGAAAAGATCGATGCACGTATTCCCCGTAAACTCGCAGTATCGACAAGTAAAGGAAATAGGGCTATTGCTCACCTAAAGAATGTCGCCAGTGCTGGCAGCTCTAGTAGTCCGCGTCGCAGGTCCCAGCCGATTGTTCGTCTCCGTTCGCGGCCTGCAATAAATGATCTTTCGGAAGGCTTTGCGGAAGTTATCGCTCAGGAAGGCGTAGAGGAAAGGGTTGATGCAGCTGTTGGTGTAGGCGAGGATATGACTGACTATCTGCACCATTACCGTCGCCGTGGTGAGGGGGTACACCTGCAGGGACTTGGTCACCAGTATCACCTGCAACGTGACGACCCGGAACGACATCGTGGATGACGGAGTATCCAAAAGAGCGAAAAGAAATATCGTCCCCTCGAGAGACGAGGTCCCCTGTTACCTGTATAGGGCACCAGCAGGCGGCGAAGACGCCGACGACGACGAAGACGAGCCTGGTGACCCTTCTCCTCCCGCGCCGGCTCTCGGCGCTGACGCGCGCGCCGCGCCACAGCTTGATCAGCATGGCCATGTAAAAAATGCATATCAGCACCAGGGGCAACACGTAGCTCGTGAGGAAGAAGGACACCTGGAAGGAGGTCCAGTCGTACTGCTCGAGGATCCGGCAGGCGGTCTGATTTTCCGACGGGCCGTTGTCTGCCTCCTGAAACACGTAGCGAACCTACGGATGCGCGATGCACCGGAGAACGACGGCAGGCTTCGCGGAGCGGGGAGCGTCGCGGCGCCGCTCGCGGCTTGCTTACCTCGCCGTGGATCACGAACGCGGGCGCGGACAACGCCAGGATCACCACCCACGCGACGCAGATCGCCTGTATCGCGTGATTCTCCGTCCTCCATGACATCGATGCGATCGGGTGGACCACCGCTAGATACCTGCGAGCAATTCCCTACCTTGACGCGATTCTACTTTCGATCGAGGCATCGTGTCAGATCGGACCGCTAGTTAAACGCCCGTTTTAGCAAATCTTTCCGGGAGACGACTACTTAAAAGGGCGCACAAAATGTTTAATGTCTTCCGTCGCCCGTGCCTCTTTTTTTTTAATATAGCGTAAAGTTTCGGGCCGAATCAGTTCACAAGTTAGCTTAAAAGCGGCGCTTAGTCTCCGAGGCTCAATTTACAAATTATATCGAAGTTAATCCTTGCCTAGAGCGTCAGCACTTAAAAATCAACTTGAGATAATCCCTGCCTTTTTCCCTCATATTCGCTTTGAGGGGAAAAAAGTTAAGGAACGAGGGATGAAAGGCGCCTTTTGCGACGTAGTTTAGTGTTCTGACTGAAAGTAGGATGCAGAAAATCGATTAAGGAAGATCGATTAACTGCTTGCACGTGAATTTTTAACTCGACGCCGACGGACAAGATATTAAGGATGGGACAGGCTTGTGGGAAAAGGCTGTGGGGTTAATGCTGGAATTCCGTAACGTTTTATAATAGAGTGCCCCCTTTTTTTTATTCCGCCCTCGTTTAAATGATATACCGTCGATATCGAGGTAATCCCGAATCCGGCGTCATTATTCAACGCGCATTATACATTATTCATGAAAACAACGGCGTGAGATTAACAACGTAGTAGTTTGATCTCGCGATACAAGATAATGTGTTATCACAAATAATATTAGTAATTCATGTAATGGCATCTCGCGGAGCTGCATCTCCACGGCCGGAGATTGAATAATGAAAATTGAAGTCGCTAATTTAATCGAGTTCGTACGGGAAGCGTACGTGCCGAGTGCGGGCGCTCGCCAGATGAAATATTGCCGGCAGATATTGGAACGAGGCGACGAATGTCTACAATGGTCTACGTCGCTGAAATTGGCACGTTCAAATTGCCTGAGATGAATGTATCAAACGGCATATATCCCGTGTAGTCCCGCAAACCGTACGCACCGCGATTCAAAGCGCAACAATGAATCAAATGTCAAACGAAAAGCCCGGGGCGTTTTACAAAGCTGCAGGAAAGGTCCGTGTTGAAAGGCAGCCCGGACAAAGATAGCGGGAAAGCTTCCGTTGATAAAGGACAAGGAAACTATTGCATGCGGGATACGATATTTCCTTTCCGCTCGTTATTATATAGCGCCGTAAGTGAAAAATTTACATTAAGTGCCTCGTCTTTCGGTAAAAATTAAAAAAATGTTCTTTGAATAATTTTTCAACCCGTTAATCTCTCATCAATTGTTACCCGTTAGAAAATCTCACTTTGACATAATTTTAATAAAAACGAATTACCTAGTGAAAACTAATAGCCAATTCATTTTACATTAAGAAAGAAAGAGATTTTAAAATTTAATCAAATTTCTGTTAAGAGAAGCGCAGGCGAAACAAAATGCTCGCGTACGCTCGAATAGATTATTATCTCGCATGGTTCTGCTACGTAATCTTTATCGACAAGTACATTTGTAATCTAATTTCTATTTTCCGCAGACCTCTCACGTTTATATCAAAATCAAGTTTAATCAGCTAACTGAATAAAGCGGGGCGAATGCTCGCACTTGTTGAATGATATACGTCGAAGGGAAAGAAAGGACAATTTTTAAAGCCGCGTACTAAAGCATTTGCGTCTAAAAAAGTTGGAACAAACGCTACGAAAATGTGCGACTAACAAGCTATTCTCTGTTGATTTTACTATTTTTATATCCAAAAAGGTAATCTGCCGCTTGCGAGATTCTTCGGAGAGCATTTACGTTTCTGTAAAAGCATTTTCCCGTTTCGCGTGCTTGAAATATACAAAGGCGCTGACATATTACGAATTGTGCGTTACGACTCTATTCGCTTTTGCATGATTGCAGTATTGATTCCGCCGTGACAGTGGCAACAAGCAATATTTACGTACAAATTCGTCTAACGGAGAAAAAAAAAGAAGTGGAAATGCAGAAAGTACTTTTGCGCCCCGTGTGTTTCTACTTTATAAAAGTGAACAAATGCTTCCGCATTTAACTTCCGCCAAGGGCGCAGCGTCTCGCTTTATTCGCATGGCCCGTGTATATCATTTCCGTTTTGTACTTGTTGATAGCCATTGTCTGTGCGCGCCGATACATCTAGCGGCCTTATCTCAACTTTTACGCGCGATTTACTCCTCTGTTACGAACTATATTACGGTGTAGTCTAATTCCAAGAGAGAGAGAGAGAGAGAGAGAGAGTTCGCGCAGCGCTGGCGGAGCTCGGATATCGCGAGCAACGATCTTGACGTACCAACCTGTCGAGACTCATGAGGACCAGGGTGTAAACGCTCGCGTAAGCGGTGACAATGATCAGATACTGTACGATCTTGCACCAGACGTTGCCGAACGGCCAGTACGGCAGCACGAAGTCGGTGGCCGTGAACGGTACACAAAATATAACGAACAGCAGATCAGCCACGGCGAGGTTGATGATGAGGATGTTCGTGGTCGACCTCATTCCAGGATTCGCCGCCACCACCACGACCACCAGCGAATTCCCGGCGAAGCCGAGAATGCCGATTATACCGAAGAACAATGGCACCACCACCACCACGATGCTGTGCACCAGTTCGTAGTCGAATCCGTGGTAACGGCTGCAGGCCTCGACATCGCCCGCGAGGGTAAATTGCGTGCTGCAGTTGAGAAGCGCGTCGCTCGCGTTCGCGACTTCCGGCTTCATATTCGAATCCGCCCACCGTGATCGACCTGCGACCTGCGATCGAATCGACGCGCGCGATCTCTTCGTAACCGCGTTACGGTAAACTCGTTAGGCCGGCTTAACCGAGTTGAGGATGAAATAGGAACTCTGCGTAATATTACAGCGATAATAAAGTCGACGTGGATCGCCTTAGTAGAATCCTAATCTCGTCACAGGGATCCCGCGGCCTCTGTCTGCGCCGAGGATGCCGAGAATATCCTCTTTTCCCCGCGAAGCTCATTTTCGTTACCGAACAGCATCGAGCGCTCGCGATTCGCGATCCGCCGATACATAGCTCATTTCTTTCACGGCATTGCCCTTCGATTGGAATTTTCCTTCGAATTTTGAAGAGTCACGAGAATCGCGAGATCCCGGAATCACAAGTCTCGGCTGCACTCGTTGCACGAGAGAATGTTAACGTATTTTAGTTATTAACATATTATAATTTACTTCTTAACTCGGTTTTCCGCTCAAATTATTGAAAATTTAAGTGGAATATCGGATCCGCGATAATAACCATGATAATAACTTCATTTATCCATTTGGTTGCGCATGAGAACGTAAGCAGCCCGATGCTCGCTGACTTTTTAACGAGCGCCAAACTAAATTGGAAAACACCGCACTAAGATTTTTGATCGAACAGCGAATCAACGGGGTGCAATAACCGATTTCTAAATATATAACTTAGATTGTAAACCTTTTAACACTTGTTTACGACAGAAACTTGGCGAAACTCAGGTTCCCGCGAATCACGTTGCTCACTTCGTTTCTGCAAGTGCAGTGGTCGGCTTCTTTTAATAAATCGTACGCTCGAATAAAATGATCGCATACTTTGCCTTGAAATAGATCGTCGTTTATTTCATTAAAAATAAACGTTTCGCAATCGATATTGCAAGTCGATTTAAAATAGTCTCTAATTGTGTTGCGCTTTCAATTCCATATGCTGGCGCACATTCAAGGAGCGTCACGATTTTACATCAAACGCCCCAGATTCTATAAATCACCATTGCACCGCACTGAATATTTCCGAGTATTAAAGTAACAGGAAATTACGACAATCGAGTCTTTAAATTGCGGGTAACGTGACGCTTTCATATGTTCGCCGCTTACCGCCAAGTGAGAAGTTGGACTGAAGAACCGAAGCCCGCACTTACATCTCGCACACTCTCTCCGATCGAACAAGCCGTTTTCTGAAGCGATTTTGTCATTTTTAACAATAACACGCAACTTTCTCGAGAGCACGTGCTCGTTTCCTATCGTCGACCGCCGAAACGACGCGGCGAAAACGCGGCAAAACAAAATCGAAAACTCGGCTCGCCAATTCGCAGCTTCGGCACTTCGGCAAACCTCTTCAGTCGAAGAAATAGCCTCACCATTGAAAATTACACTTTCGGCGGTGTTTGTCGATGAAATCGTTGGTAGCGTATTGGCCGAGTCGCGGCAAGTGTCCGCGTACCATCGCCCAGTAGCTAGCGATAAACCACTGCTAGCTCCGGGGGTGGTTTTGTACTGAGGATCCCCGATGGTCGACAGTGCGGCGCGGCCAGGAATGGATGGGGCTAGATACGCGTGAACGACGGGGGAAATTCGCGGCGCCATCTGCTATACGCATGTCGATGTCCCGAAATAGGGATGCTTACACACAAAAAGAATCTACATAATTGCATAATGCGAGATGAAAAATAAGATACTTTAGGTACAAGTGATTTGACCTCTCGGGTAATCAGAGCGAACCGAGGACGATCATATTGGGAATCAACTAACGCGCGCGCGGTTCTGAATGCAAACGAGTGTCCCTATCCTTTTATTTCACACGCTAATTTATGCCTATTGTTCCCACTGCTTGCTTAATTATTTTTTTCCGATCATCTTCATCGATCAATTGTTCTTTCTTTCGTCATATGTCAGACGTTGGCGTATATATTGTTAAAATTGCGCGGTTTTGTGCGCACTCTTTTTTTTTAAGTTCATTAAGATATTATTTTAGCACCACGGTGATTAAATGAAGATAGAATAATTTTTCAATTATGGTAGAATCAACAAGTAACACACATACGCACATTACAAGTTGAGTTTAAATGTTAAAAATTTTTTAGTTGAATTCTCGCTAGTTTTCTTTTTTAAAGGAACGTGTTAATTTGTATGCGATTCCGCCGTTGGAACGATTTGGCGAAACGGCTTTTATCGCTCAATTTGTTCCTAATTTGTTGTTGGTAATACGCTTTAGTCGGTCAGACGAGGGAGAAGTAAAACAAACGATTATTTGACGTATAACAGATATGGGCCAGAACCGACGTACGGAATATATCCGCTAGGTGAGAGTTAAATATAAGCATCCGTTTCGTTAATGTCAAAGCGTTCAAGAACCAAATTCCGGATTTCTATGACACACACCTTTTCGCAAATTTATTTGGCAATCAAGACGTATACTAATAATGTTACTCTAATAATTAAAATTACTATTCTTAAAGTGTATATAATACATTAAAACTTACTTGATTACACTATAATTTATTCTCTGAAGAATTTTCAAATAATCTTCTTCTTACCGCACAAACTCGAAGCTGTAATCTAGTTAGTTATTTCAGTAAATAAAGAGCAATAAAGAGCCGAGGCAAATTCGATTTATTCCTTACTTAAACCTCAATGAAATTTTTCTTAATTTCGTTATTGTTTTTGTAAATTTTATTTTTACTAATGCACAATCATTTTTTATATATTTTATTAATTTGACGATCGAAGCTTTAAACTTTTAATGTCACTTAGAAGTAAACAATCTAAACAGACTACTATCACTTAAATTAATATTTATGCATGTATATTTTTATATTTATGTATATTCTTATGTTTTTATATTTTTTTACACACGTATAAGATATGTTCCTCCAAAAGGCAACAAATTTAGTACAGGAAATACACATCTACAAACAGTAAATGCAAACACTGATACTCGCATATGCATCTACTTACAAAAAAAGGTAACGTTCATAACTGCAATTCGCAAAAGCAAATATCGCAAGCTCCAGCGCTCCTAGCAACATATCCTTAGTAACTAAAAATAAAAACGCCCTCGTCGTTCTCTACGCATGCCACATCGCACATTTCTAACACGTTTACAGTTGAATTGGTCAAAAACACCCGTCATGGATTTATATTTTTGTATTCCTGTAAAACACAATCTCTCCTCCCTTCACCCTTCGTTCTTTCTCCTCTCTTCTCCCTATTTAAAAAATTATATCAATACATCTCGGATGTATTTATACTTAGTATAGTGTATCCACTACACTTTTTACAAAACCAACGGTTTCACGGCTATTGATTGCATGCATGTATCGTATCGTATCAATTGTTTCGGATACAGATATACATATGTACATACAGGTACATTCGATGGCAATAATATTTTCCGAAGCAATAATTCATATCCAATAGTTATCACTGTAATAGTTAAAAAGTATATTTATCATTTTTCATAATAAATTGTACGATTTAATAATATGATGCTCGCAAACAATAAAAAGATTCGATAAGCTTTGAGTATAGTAAATTCAAGCATGTGTTCTATTAACACTAGAACTACTGAAGATCATCCAACATAAAGAACTACGTAGAAATAAAAAAAACACAGGAAACAAATTTAGAAAATTAATTATTTGTAAAGTTCAATAAAGATTAGGAAAAATTTCCAAATAAAAATGTTTAAAAAATTAGTGATAATTATATAAAAAGGGAAACAATTTTGATCCTTTTGACATATGTATAAATAGTTTGTTATTATATATATGTATAATAAAATTGAGCTTTTTGGCACTAGCACCATCCTGCTTCAGGCAGAGGAATCAAAGAACTCGTATTCAGTCGGTAATACATAAATGGAATCTTTATATAGCTAATCCATAAAGGACAATTGTATAAAAATGTAATCTAAATTAACATTTAGAATGCCATCTAAAAGATATATTAGGTATTTTAGTTTTTAACATATTTAGTATGTAATGTGAAAACCCTCTTGGTATCAAATATCTGGATAAAGAGAATAGAAATAGTTATTCGCTTAATTAATCCTTTTAAAGTTACAAATTGAATCTCTAAAATAATCTCTCTCTCTTCTTCTCTCTCTCATACAAGTTCACATAAAAACTTGATTACAATTATCATTCGGATACTGCATCTAATACCAAAGATTTGAAAAAAACCATTTCTATAAAACAATTATTACTTTTTAATTATAAAAGGGTATTATTTTTCTATAATGCAAAATACAAAAGTTTGTTTTACCCAAAACGTACGAAACGATATTGGTTGCGCCATCTGTCAGCCTTCTGTCGTACATTTTGAATAAAAGAGGAGCAAGAATAGATAACTTTTTGTGATTTTTATAAATTTGCGTAATAATTATCACGTTTAGTAAGTAAACGCGTTGATCGATTTATAATTTAATATTTCCTCTATGTTATGTAAAAGTGACACATTACACTAAATTGTTGGCTTTCGCAAGGTATAGTTATGTCACAGTGAATGCATTGTAGGAGAATAATCATGAGTCAATCAAATTAATATTTGTTAGTATTTAAAATACACCAACAAACGCATATCTAGCTTCAATTGGGATACACAAGAATATAGCAGAAATAAAATAATAGTGTCTTTAGCAAGCATATTACTATACTTAGCATATACTATAATTAGTATACTTATTGCTAATGAATAAAATTTGAAGTTGACAAGTAGTCTTATTGCTACAATAAACATAAAAGAAATGAATGGATTGAGCATGTCTAAGAAATAGCCTCTCCTCTCAAAGAAAGATAATATTAACAACAAACTTTTTTTATTCGTCATTCTAACATCTTTTTGACATTTATTTATTAAAATTACGTTGTATACTAATCTTATTTTTTCCTAGTTTAGCGAGATTCAACTAATTTAATAATTGTAAGAAAAGCAATACGCATCGCATAAGAACAGAAGCGTAAGACTGTTATTTCTTGTCATGTATCGCCAATTACCCGACAGTGACTTGCAATAATATAGACATTTTGCTCATTTTGTTTGCGATAATGGACGATATCCGTGAAGGCTGATAATATGGAGCAGTTTTCTTCGCGTAGATTTACTGAACGAGTATACATTTATAATTTATAGTTACAGCACGTCCGAAGTTTTGTTATACTAATGCATAAATAGCAAGAACAAAGACGTATTGTCACCAGTGAATAATTAACCAATATAGGAAATTAATAATCGATACAGCTGGTAAAATTTTAATTAAAGAAATTTATTGCGAAAAATATTACTTTAGCCAGAGTTTGAACTTAGACGTCCCTACACTCTAGGCGGATGTCTCACCAATTCAACCACTGAGGCATGTGGTAATATTTATTTGTCCCAATAAACAGTCCAATGATGATATTTCCGCGTCTATTTTTCGAGTTCGCACTACGCACCAATTCAAATTGTTGGCCTTCAGTCACAGAACTATCGATACGCGATTTTATTATGCGTAGGATTAAGGGGATGCTGGAGTGACTCTGCACTTTTGCACCTTCCTAACCTAAAAACTGTCAGTTCGCGGAAACATTTGTATAATATACAAATTAAATGACTTACGTGTACAGATCGAAAGCAGCTCGCTATTCCGGCCAAATGAAAGAATAATACGGCATCATTGAAACTAAGTTTATAAGTCCAATAAGAAATAATAGTGAGCAACACATACATACAGTACATGTAGTATATGTGTTGCTCACTATTTTTTATTAGACTTACAAACATAGTTTCAGTGATATCATATTGTTCTTTAATTTAGCCGGAATAGCAAGCTGCTTTCGATCATCTGTACATGTGCCATTTAATTTGTGTATTACACAAATCTTTCCACGAAACAGACAGTTTTAAGTGCGAAAGGTGCGAAAGTGCAGAATCACTCCAGCATCCCCTTAAAACGTATAAGATTGCTAATGCATAAGATTGCTATTGCATAAGATTGCTAATGCATAAGATTGCTTTTATGTAATGAGAGCGAGCAATAAATCAGTCAACAATAAATAATTTATGAAGTAATTTTATTGTTAATCTTGACATTTATCACACATCAATTAATGACTGAATATAGTTATTAGATATAATCAGTGTACTCCCTGAACCGCAATGTCTTTTAATTTTTCTCTTAACGGAAGCATAACGATAATAACAAAAACTGTATATGTATAATAAATGAGCGCAAGTATTGAGTGAGACTACGCGCGATTCGTGGTTTGCAGTGGTTCGCTAAAAATTCACGGTAATTCGTTTTTACTTTAAGAATTTACGAAACCTGCAAAATTAACTTAAAAAATTCACCAGGTGTTTTTCTCCAAGATATCTACATGAAATATAAGGATAAATAAACAAATAAATAAATAAATCTTTCGATCATCGAGTTATTGAAACCTATTCACTTTTTAAACCAAATTTGATAATTGCCGATCACGATCTTATTCGAACGGTATTGACAAAGGCATTTGGAAGTTTCCATGATCGCGGAATGTTCAACAATGAAAGGACTGACCCATTGACTGGCCACTTTTTTTTTTTCCAGGAAATAAATGGCGAAATATTTAAGTCAAATTGACACCTACTTTGACGTCAGGAAAGATAAAGTAAATGTTCTTGATCCTGACAGAATGTGGCGATAAATTCGCCAAGCATCTCGAGAGTAAAGCACGGATGAGAGATTCCGTTGAGATAAAAGATTGGCTTGCAAGGTAAATTGTTTTTAAAGAAACTGTCATTTAAAGTCTTTTGAATGTTAAAGAATAGAAATTACTTAATTTGAGGTAGAAGTTATTAAAATAGGTAATCATAAAAAAATGTACCTGACAATATACATTTGGACTGAATCTTTGGTGCCTAATAATATTTCTCGTGTGAGTTTATGTACATTCTCTGCAATAGTTCTAAAGAAAGGTGGTTCTAAAACCTATTAGTATCGGTGTTATTGGATTAATTTTTAATTTAACTATACAATTACACTATTCTAGCTTCATTTTGAAATTGCGTTTCAAGACAAGTAATCGGCACATAATGTTTTAACAAGTGGAAAATATATAGTTTCATGCAAAAAATTACTTAATTAACACGAAAGATCCAGTCAGACCGTATATTGAAACATTTTCTGTTTATTTGGATTGTTATCTTGTTGGTCAAGTTTGTTATGATTTGTTAGTGTAAGCATCGAAGATAAGAAAAGCAGTACGAATAAGTAACGTTGTCATAATTTTGAAATCATCAATTTGAAATGTATTATTGCTTAACGGAGTGTTAAGGAGATTATCAGTTCACGCAAGTGTACAGAAAGTTCTATAGTGAATGAGTTTTATACGCAGAATACTTAGAATTCTAACAGCACATATTTAAAAAACATTTTTATTATTATATGCATTTTATTATAAATGCATTAATACAGCTGCAAGCGATACGGAAGACAGATTATCTCTCAAACAAATATTAAAAACTGTTCAACAATATTTTAATACAATTTTTAGTATTGTACATTACATGTTATCGATAAATCTGAGACATTTGTCTCTGAATCTTAATAAACACGATTGTCATTCTGACAACACTGACAAGCATTTTAATCCGACAACATTATATGATCTATCTAGAATTATTGTATGAACGTAATATTTTATTTTTAAACTTTCTTTACCTCGAATTATTGTATAATACTCACAAAATTTTATACGTATGGTTTTGTCTCTAACACTTATTCGAATCCTCGTTCGAATCATTTAAATAAATAAAATAAAAATACAGATGTTTCATTTTGCACAAGTAGCAAATAACATAATAATGTAAGACACTTATCCGGAGATACAATTTTCAACAACAGGATAAAGATTTTGTCGCACGAAAGTATTTTGTTATTTCTATCTATATTCAAATAAATTGCTTTTTGGAAGAAATGTATCTTCATACTTTTCTTTTACATAATTCCAGAGACTATGAGAAAATATCCACCTGTTCCAATACTGAATCGCATCTGCACTAAGGAAATTTAGTCGATTTACCGACAACATTCATTTGCCAGAGAGAACTTTAATTACTATACCGGTATTTGGACTCCATCGAGATCCGTCAATATATCCGAAATCAAATAAATTCGATCCTGAACGACTCAATGCAGATGTACCTAGTAGCTGAAAGGCCATAACACCGTGGTTGTCGGTATGTGTTTAGAATCAAGCGCGAACAATGAAATTTCGAAGTGATTACGGATCACCACGTTGACGGCAAAAGAGACCGTCCGCGCTCTCGGAGACACTTGTGATCGTGACTTCGGTATGAATGAGCCATAACGTTGGAAGACAGCAGTCGCATTTTAATTGGTTAATGTTATGTACATACAGTCATGGTCAGAAAGGTTGGCCAACGTTTTACAATAAGTTTTTTGAATATTCATATGTATCATTACATAGATATTGGTATCTGACTCTTGAATCATTTGCAAAAAAAAACGTGCGCCAAAATTCTGTTCTCACAGAGGAATTGAAAGTCGATCGGATATTTGCATGGCTTTTATTCAATTGTTCTGCAATTCCTGTGTAAGAGCAAAGTTCTCACGTATGTTTTCCATAAGATCGATTCAAGACTCGAGCTCTCCAACGGAATATATTACAAAAATTGCAGTAATACGTACTTAAGCCGACGACATGCGACACTATTTTTCCTACTAAATTGCTTACGAGATCCAATCAGGATTTCGTCTTAAGTCATCTCATCTGAATCTGCATCTTTATTGTCTATCGCAAGCAATCCAGTAGGAAATAGTATCTTGTGCTGCTGGTTTTAGATCTCGATCTAGTCGCCCACGAGATTATCCTCCATGTTGTATGTACATACATGCTTACAATTAGATGAGAGGACATAAGATATAGAGTCCATCATTTTTTCTGGAAAACTATAACACGTACAGTAAAAATGAATAGGACATAAAATGCATATTTTAAAGAGATCTACAACTTTTGCTTAAAACATTTTTCAAAATTTTTAATATTTGGTGATATATTACATATAACTACATATAATTCATCGACATTGTTTTGTAAATAACTTTTTGATAAACAACATCCGCAGGCTAAAACCTTTTGCAGATCACTCAGGAGGTTGACCTCTATAATATATGTCCAGCCCAAGTTTATTGGAGGGGAGTATGTTAATCTAAATAATTACCAAGTAGTGTTTTCGATGGTTAATTTTTCCGATTACGTTTTCCGATTAAATTATGGACACATCCGATGAAATGCAGTTACCGATGAAATTTGATTCAAAAACAGATCACATTTTTCATCGGATATACAATTTAATCGGATATATCCGTTTGTTATTATGTAATTGGAATATCCGATTGTATTTAATCGG